GTCGTATCGCACTATTTTGAGTTGCGTCCGACGTGCGGAGGAAACAGCATGCCTAATGGTGAATCGCCGGGATTATGGTGCTCCACCAAGACACCGTGATGTCCACAACGAAGAGGAAGTGCTTCGAATATTCGAGAACAATCCTGGAAGCAGTGTACGTCGCGTAGCATACGCACTTGGTATATCGCGAACAACAGTGCATCGTATTATCCGCCAAAATGGTATGCATCCTTACCATTACCAACGTGTGCAGCAACTTTTGCCGCGAGATGCAGAACAGCGGATCTGCTTCTGTCAAGGTATTCTCCACAGAAATACTCACAGCGCTTTTAGCATATTTCTATTAATATCATTAATATGTTTACCATTAATATAACATATGCAGGGTTACTGGCACAGTATCGGCAGGATCTGACATTTCCTGGCCGTATTTTGCGGACGGATGAAGCTACATTTACTCCTAATGGCGTCTGCAACTCTCGCAATTTCTTGCTCTGGCAAGAGGAAAATCCTCACGCCATACGGGAAGGTATTTTCCAATATCGCTGATCCATTAATGTATGGGCAGGAGTAACGGCGGACCGAGTGGTAAATATTCTTGTAAATTAAGAAATGTTTTCTTCCTCATATTTTCCTCATAATGTGTCCATTTGCGCTTTTCAGATAGACCCATATTTTCTGCCGCCACGTCTTAACGGACAGGCGTATGGACACTTCCTTCGTAACGATTTGCCGATACTTCTGGAGGACGTTCCTCTCCACATGCGGCAAATACTAGTATTGCAACACGACGGAGCTCCGGCACATTCCGCTCGTCAAATACGGCACATTTTAAATACGCGTTTTCCGGAAAGGTGGGTGGGACGAGGTGGCCCAATCACCTGGCCGGCACGGTCGCCAGATTTGAACGTGCTCGACTATTTTGTTTGGGGCTATGTTAAAGCTTCAGTTGAGCACAGGCGTGATGGTAATGAAGATGAAGTACGTGAAGCAATTGTTGCGGCCTTTAATACCATCACGCCGGACATGGCGCACCGTGCGACGCAACAGATAATTCGAAGAGCTGAACTCTGTTTACAAGCAGAAGGAAGCCACTTCGAACAGTTATTGCCTTAAATAATGAGAGTGGATTAGGCCTACTGGGGAAACCACTTAAAAAAAACGCGCCAAGTTATCTACCTCAGGGTGGTGTGGAAATGATAGCATTTCCTTTTTCACGAATTTACAGACGCCTTTTGTAAATTTACGATATACCTAGGTTATTATACGTGGTATTCGTCATGTTCTCCTTTCGTAAGTATTTTATTAAGTAATTACGATGTGCTCGTCAACAAAATTATGGCATAGGTAAATACATTTCGAAATTTAGTACAATTTTCAATGAGCATAATACTGCGAAACATTATGGTATTTAATTTTTTTTTTAAAGAGTCGAGTCTGTACTTTTTTTAAGGAGCATTTGTCGGATTTTGAATTTATTCTCTTCTGACGATAACTGAATATAAATACATAGGTAACTTTCATATATCGTACAACATCGCGGAAGAAAGTCGTGCACCTCTCCTTTTTATTTTTTATTTGCAAGGAAACATCGGTATTTTACGATAATTATCGTAAGATTTGTGAAAAGAATTCATTCTACTCAGTAGAGTGCGTCAAATTAAGCGATTTAAAAAAATGTATAGGTAACGTTGATATGTCGCAACTCCGCGAAAAAAAATCGAAAAAAATCCGTTTTCTTTTACATTGCAGAAGAAAGTTTATACTTTACGATAGATTACATGAAATTTTCGAAAAAAGTTTGATTGTCCACGTAGGATACGTCAAATTGTGCAATTTTTTTGGAGACGTAACACGTCTTTACTTTTGAAAAGACTACGGGAAGAGGAAAGAATAAATTCAAAATACGACAAATGCTTCTTAAAGTACAGATTTAATTCTTTAAAAGAAATGAAAAAAGATTTCAAATACGATAATGTTTCGCAGTATTATGTTCATTTAAAATTATGCTAAATTTGGACATAAATTTACTTATACGATATAATTTTGTTAACGAATGTACTTAGCCAAAGCGTGTTACGCTTTTTGTAAGAAGTCGATAGAAAAACATCTGTTCTTGGTGTAACTACTTGATGATAGATTATGATGCACGCCTTCTATCGTAATTATACAAGTCAAATATCGTTCGTACA